AACAATTAAATGAAAAAAAAAAATCATATCGTCTCGAATGTATCTTACCGGCCTGACCCGGGTCCACTTCAACCTGTCGTCAAGACTCCGACCCAACTCAAGCCGCCGCTCCGCTGCGCGTCGAAGCCGGGACCGGTTCCCTCGCCTTCCTACGCTCAGTTTTATTTTTCTTGGTGATGGTGACGTTGATCGTTTGACGCGAATCGGCCAGCTTCAGAGTTACAACGCCGTCTCATTTCGGACGGACCTGTCTCTAATTTGGGATAATCGAAATAATGTTGCACTGATCAGATGGGGGCGCTTCGACCGCCCTCACCGCCGCGTCCGGACGGTCCGGCTTCGGGACCCGGTCTCCGGGCTTGGTGACGTCACCGGCACCGCGGTCGTAGTACTCGTGCGCTGCGTTATTGACCTTGCGCAGCGAGGAGAAATGTGGGCGTTACGGCGACCCGCGACCCCCTACCGGTGGGAAGAAGGTGGTGGTCCGACAGAGCACCAGCGACTGCGGCCGTAAGGACCGCAACCGCGAGTAGACAGTGTGGGCGGGAATGTGGTCATATCATCAATAAAACATACGAAGCGAAACGGGGACGAGTTTAAAATATTGCAGACGGCTGATTGCCCTATCATGTGATGTGCCATCGCGAGCTGGACGCAGCTGTATGGGGCAGAGCTTGCAAGCTGTAACATCTCCTTGGACTTTTGCAGAACGAAGAGAAGCAGCCATGACGGTGCTGGAGAGGAAGTGGTCCACCCTGCACTATGAGCTGGCGCAGTCCGGTGGCAAGATCAAGCACAAGTACTGGAAACGGCAATTCACTACGAGGACTCTAGCCTCAGGTACGACGTCTCCGATCGACAGGCAGGTTTTTTGAACTCTGTGTGTGCATTTGCACGTGATGTTTTAAAAACGTTGCTTTGTACTGCCAGTGGCCGCTCTCATGCTGCTGAGTGTGACCTGCCTGGCTGGGGCCTACGTCCTGTGGTTCACTGCCACAGTCAACAACATCGTTGACTCGGTAATTAAGACAAATCGTCTTTAGCCGCCGGTGGGTCGGCGTGCCATATATTGGCACATGTCGCCAGCGGGCAAATGGGACTGATAATGTTGATGTGTCGCGCCAGGTCCTGACGTACCGGGAGGGCGACATGTACTACATGGACTGGCGCTACCCGCAGTACACGCCGTACACCCGGGTATACATCTACAACTACACCAACACGGAGGAGTTCTTGCGGGGAGACGCAAAGAAACTCAAAGTGGAGGAGATAGGGCCTTACATGTATCGGTGAGTATAGCCTCGCATCGACCATTGTTTGTCGACATATAGACCCGTATCACCCGCCGTATTACCTGTCGCGTCGCTTGTTCCAGAGAGAAACTAGAGAAGGTGAACGTCACGTTCCATGGCGACGGCGACACGGTGTCGTACCGCGAGAAGAGGCTGTTCACCTTCGTGCCGGAGGAGTCCGTCGGGACGGAGGAAGACGTCTTCGTGGTACCCAACGTGCCGCTGCTGGTGAGTCGAGCCTGGTCATGGCGTTAGCTAGCAAGCACGCACCGGTACGGGTATGCGGCGATTACGGATAGGACGGATAGGCTGCGACTGGTGTGTGCTGGCACCATGCTGGTACGTGCTGCGACGGGTACGCTCCGACTGGCCGACTGGTGTGTGCTGGTACGCGCTGACGGGTACGCTCCGACTGATGTATGCTGGTTCGTGCTGATGGATCTGATCTGCCTCCAGACGGGCATCTCGCTGGTGCGCGACAAGGGCTTCGCGGCTCAACTGGCGCTCCGCAGCGCCATCTGGGCGCTCGACGTCGACAAGGGCGCGTTCGAGACCCTGCGCGTCAGCGAATACCTCTTCGGCTACAACGACAAGCTGTACGACGCGGCGCAGGGCGCCTTGGACATGATCGGGACCAAGCTGCCCAGGCTCGGCATGCTGACGTCGGTACGTATGCGGCAGCGGGAGACGGGCGGCTCGGGCAGTGGAGCGAGGAGAGCGCCTGCGGGGTAGGCCACCTCGCACTAGCTGGTGCACGCATGCAGTGCGGGCCGGCCTAGGCGCTCGCGCGCAGGGGCTCCACGCTCCCGCCGGCCGGGTCGAGCCGGGCAACGCGGGGCTGGGCTGAAACCGGTTCACCATCCAGCCCTACCGTGCCGGCCCTGGAATAAAACCAAACGCGCTGAAATATAATAAACAGGTTTAAGAGGGGGTGTTATCTCGTCGTGACCGCCGACGGCGACAGTGTCGCACCGGGATGGGGTGAACGAGCTGGGTGATGGGAATCCCCCGCTGTCCTCTCGTCCTGACCGGGTGTCGATTCCGCAGCGGAGCGGGGTGAACGCGCACGAGTACACGATCCAGACCGGCACGCGCAACCACTCGGAGATCGACGTGGTGGTCGCGCTGGACGGCAAGCCCGACCTGGGCGCGTGGGCCGAGCCCGAGTGCAACCGCATCGACGGCGCCATCGGAGCCATCTACCAGGGCCCGCTGTGGGCGCGAGAGCGCCTGCACCTCTACCACGTGGACCTGTGCCGCCGCATCAACCTGGACTTCCAGGAGGAGCGGTTGGCCATGGGCGTCCTGCCCGCCTACCGCTACACCCCGCCGGCCGACTTCCTACACAACGCCCGAGACAACCCGGAGAACGCGTGCTTCACCCCGCGCTACTTCGGCGAGTGGCCGTCGGGTGTGTTCCCCAACGCGCCCTGCTTCGAGAGTAAGTCCGCGCTCACGCCGCTCACCGCCACCTCCGGCTGGCCGATGCCGCCGATGCCGCGACACGCCCTAAACGCTCGTTTGGTCCACAGACGCACCGGTGTTCGTGTCCTTCCCGCGGTTCTACCAGGGGGACCCCAAGCTGCGCCAGATGGTCGAGGGCGTTGGCGAGCCCGAGAAGGACAAACACCAGCTCTACCTGGACCTGCACCCCGTGAGTACCGTACCCACCCTCGCACCCACGCTCACGGAGCTCTTGTTCGCAGCGAGATACTATAATCACTTCCATGCTCGCCCTGTTTAGCAACTGGGGCTGAACCTCGGCTGCGCGGTCCGGATCCAAGCCAACATGATGGTGCGGAAAGCGCCGCTTGTCGGCAACTACCTCGACGCGTTCGAGGACGGCACGATTCTTCCCAACATGTGGTTCGAGTCGGTGAGTGAGTCGGTATTTGTCCGGTCTGTCCGGTCTACTATAGCCGTAGCGGCTACGGCGTAGCCCTTACCCGCTAGTTGGGCAGGGCGGATGGGGATAAGTGTGACGGGCGACGAAACGATCGTGACGCATTGTGGTCTTAATTTAGACGTAGTTTATACTAAAACAAGAATGGGCGCCTGTACATGCGGGGAGGGGCCCTTAGTTTTGTATTACGAAAAATAAATTACTTCACTGTGCGTATCGGGGCGGACGCTGCAGTGTTGCGGGGTAGCCTAGCCTACTCCCTTCGCCCGTGTAAGGCGCCATAGCCCCCGCGGTTTCGTAACAGTGCAGCGTCCACTCTGATACATCCGGCACAAGGGAAGACCAAAGGGTTCGGCGCCCACCACTGATCCCCACCCACTCAGCTCCCCATCCGGCAACACCCGACTCGATCTCGATCGAACCTCACTCCCGTTCCGCTCCCTGCAGATCATCGACCAGTACGACCCCTGGACCTTTCGACGCACCTGGCACGCCACCTTCACCCTGCGCTGGTGCGAGACCGGTTTCAAGTACGCCTTGCCGCTGCTCGCCGCCCTCTTCGGCGTCCTGGCGACCCGCAGAATGCGGCGTTGTGTGGACCGGGGAGAGGAACTCTGCACGGCGAACAAGACCGAGGTGGAGCTGCAGCAACTCCAGCAGCCCCTTACGACCGTGAGATAAAACCACTGTCACTTGTAAGACTAAATCAAGGCTTCATCTGTGATATAATTTTGTCAAGTTTGTGAATGTTGCGTACACAATGTTTTCTTTTGTTTTCTTTAATGAAGTAATGAAGTTACGTGGCATGAGAGCTATTCTTCACAGCCAATATTCATAAATGGCCTGCGCGGCTCGCCGGGGAAGATGGAAGGTACACTGTAAATCCGGGGTGTCCAGCTCGGTCCAGCTTGTAGGCGACAAAGTCGCCCGACCCGCAAAACTAGGCGACTTATGTCGACTTTCTGCTGGACACCTTCCGGTCTTCCGGACAATCGCATGGGCACAATGGGTGGAATTCCTCTGAACTCATACAATGCAATTACCCGGAAGAACAGCAGAAGGTGTCCAGCGGAAAGTCGACATAAGTCACCTAGTTTTGTGGGTCAGGCGACTTTGTCGCCTACCTGCTGGACACCCCGGATTTACAGTGTAGGCAATGCATTAGTGTTTGTAATTTGCTTCATTAGTGAACAATTAGGGTGCGCCTTGGTGGGGCGCTCAGAGAGACAGGAGAGCAAGTCCGGTACGTCAGAGAGAGGAGAGGGCCTCTCGGAGGAGAAGCATGCAGCGCAGAGCAGTCCAGTCCTGAAAACACTGTAGCGGTGCAAGGCACGGAGGACATAGACTGTGTCCTCCGTGCAAAGCGGGCGTGCAAGCTGGCAAGTACAGAAAGAAGGGCTGATTAGAAAGCTGACGGGACCGGGGTCCCGGGGGACCTATGCAATGTTTTAATGGTGCATTCGCAGGATGCCAGACCAGGTACAGCACCATGGACTTGTCGATTAATTTGTAGAGTAAGAAAAGCAATGTAAGTTGTGAGTGCTGCGGATATTGTATGACCATGTAAGGCTGTGATACTGATAAAGTTAATAATTTTAACTGTTCAACACTAAGCTCCTAACTGTAGTGATGGGAAAAGGAAATTAATAAATGTTAATATGACCTGTGTTTTATTCTACTTTTTTGTTTATTCAGTTGACAAAACAGTCTCAAAAGAATGAAGGCTGATAATTGACAAACTGAAGATCATTTCCCAGAAACACAGCCATATTGATGTCAACTTTCTTCAATATGTGGCATAAATAAAGCTTTACAGCCATGGGGAAAGGTGTTCCTTATTTTCTTTTAACCTCCAGTTGTGCATTTAATATACTGAAACATCAGATGAATACTAATAACATGATAAAGGGGGTTTGAAACTTTCTTATTATGGAGTATCCCTATCCCAATCCTCCTCATATCCCTTTCCACAATATTAAAACAAGGATATCAATTCATACATTGTTCCTCAAATAAAACAATGAGGCTTCGCTCTTGTACGAGCTAATACAGTATATTATTTTCTAGGTAATACAATTTACCTAGTGGCCCTCAATTTACCTGACTGAAAATTCAATAAATTTAGAAACAAGGAACGGGAAAATATTTCTGAATGTACCTTGTCACTTAAGGAAGATGTCTAGCAGCAATATTTATGCCACGCAAACTCAGTTTTTCTCCACTGACAAAATCAACCAGCAGCAGCAGTACAAATCCAAATCCCCAATTTACTAAACCTTTATTTTTTGTGAAAATAAAAAAAATAATAATTTGTTCCAAAAAAATAAATTTTGTTATGAAGAAATGATTTTATGAACAAAGTACAAGTTTTATACTGATCACTAAGAAGGTCTACCTGTCTAAATTTGTGATAAATTTTCATGTAGAACTGTGTGGCAGTTCAAAATTGGAGGTTTGGGAAAACGGGCATAATTACTTCTATCTTTGTGTGACAACATTCTGCTTCAATTGTGGTGCTCTGAACCGCCAAAAATCAAACACAAAATACCTAGACACTTGTGAGCAGAGGCTCACATACAACAGTAATTAATTTCCCACTCAAATGTAAACAAAACAGTCATAACCACACACATTAGATTTATGAAATATTATAGAAGCAGAGCAGCTAGTCAATTCACATAACATGATATGTTTTGCGCTAGTGATTTAAGACTCAAGTTTGACTACATATTAATTATAGTAGCCTAAAAAAAAAATTGGGAGGCAAAACAAAAAGAGTCTACACAAAATGGTATGAAGTGGATATATAGACAAAGATTTGAAGAAACAAGGACACAAGTAAATAGGCTTCATCAGTCTGTATTTGATGGTTACTCACATGCCTCAAGAAATCAAGTAAAAACAATTAACAATTCCTTTTCCACTCAAAGTCGAAAAGAAACCTTTTGGTTAAAAAAAAGTTGATGTTTTATGGGGAATGAGACACAATCTGACACAGAAGTAAACAGTGAAGTAAAACTGAGAGCCTACAACTATGTAACTTTACGATTTGTCAAATTTGGAATCGGAATAGTCCCTCTAGATACGGTTGCTAGCCTCTAAGGTACCGATACTCTACTTGAAAAGGGTTTGAAGGCATTTGACCTAGGGAAGCCATCTAAAATGAACATTACAATTTTCTCAAAAATACTGAGAATAACTGAATTGAATTTTGAGTGATGTTTAAACATTGGAGAGTTAGATTAATTAATACTGTGAACTTTTGATGCTTCTTAAAGTACTGTAGGTCTAAGAATTGATGTTTGGCTGAAATTGAAATTTTACAATTCTAAAATAAAAAAACATAAGGTTTAGTTGACTACATTTGGTAGGTAAGAATTTTCCTCCATTACAAACAAATCTTAAACATACAAAAACCAATCAGCCTCTAAAAGTATCTGAAATACTCCAATGACAGACAAAGAGGGAAAAAAAGTAGTTTGGCTTCAAAAGCTTCCCTTTTCAAAAAAATTCGCATTTGTTGTTGAATGGGAGCCCCAGCTAAAACAGAATAGGGAAGACATTCACAGAGGAGTCTATTAAAACTGAGAACATGAATATGATAGAAATTTTAAACGTAACATTAGAAAGAAAACAAATTAAAACCACATCAGCTTAGTGATTAACCCACCCAATAGTATGCAGTATTTTAAGACAAAGTTTGTCCTAATAACACGTTGAGTCCCAGGGGGGTCCCCTTTTACATGCTACTGCGGCCATACGTGTGGTCATATGGGACTCAACATGTAAAAAGCTGTTGAATGTAATGCATTCTACCAGCTTGATTTTTACAATAGTACTATACAACGTTAACTGTTAGAACTGCAGCGAAGACATGAAATAAAATTCTCATAAACCTAGAACATGATCACATTTTCTCAAGGAACTCACAAATAAGTACCTTGTGTCCAAAATGGGAAAATGGATAAAATGAAAGCATCTTTTCAGTGAATAGAGAAGAGGATGTACAAATAGGAAGTAGAACGTAGTTCCATGAATATTCAAAAAAAAGTTATTAAAAATTAGAGGTATACTGTGCATCACCAAAATAAAAAGGAACAGGGATGCAGGTGAAGGGAATATGTTGGAAGGTATAACTAATACTTGGAAGAATGTAGAGAAAACAATAACAATTGGAGTGTTGAAGCTTTGGCAAGACTTTGGAAAAAAATAGCAACAATAATTTTGAAGTGATATGAAGTTAAGGAATAATGGAAAGTTATTGCCATAAACTACAGAATACACTAAGGTGAGCAAAAACAGTGTGAATGACACATAAATATGTAAGCCTTGCTTCAACAACACTTCATGGGGAACAGCTTTCAATCAAAATAAAATTAAAAAGGAATAGTCCAAACTATACATAACATTCTAAAAGCTTCAGTCACATTCACAAATTGAACAGTACATAATTAAATATGTTATCTGAAACAAGACAGGAATAATTAATAATTAGATAATTAAACTTAGACTTTGCTAAACAATAAGTTTCAGCTGCACACATACCTCTGCTAAACAATCAGTTATATATCTTAACCACACTAATTCGATTATGACCTTGATAATGTAAAGATCCACTGCATTAAGCAGAAAAATTGTACATGACTTTCTGGGGACACTTGGGCCTACTATACAACACACAGTTACAAGATAAAATATGAATTTGAAACATGTACAACTAGGGAGTTTAACAAGTCTGGATAAGATTAAGCCAGAGTACCTCCAAATACATGTATTTTTAAAACTTGCCGCTCGTATTTTAATACTTCCTAATAATTACTATCCTATTTCCTTCTCATGTACATTATACATAAGCAAAACAAGCACACACATTCACACCCTAACTTTGGAATGTGCTCCATCTACAAAGGTTTTTAATACCATTGTAGATGCAAATCCGCTAAGAAAGTTTACGTACATAATGACTCAATCATCCTTAGTTTCTTAAAAGATACTACCAAACAAACCTCTGCAGTTTCCTACAAAATGACTCACAGTTGACAGTTTTCTAGCACAGCATAACCGCATTCTCAATTGATGCATTTAATCAACACAGCATAACAACCGTCAAGCATATTACATTAATTTAATCTTTTACCATATTACCGTTCAAAGGTACCTAAATGCAAGGGTCACAGAAATAAATAAGGGCTTTGTTCAATTATTACAACTTTGAGCATGCAGTTATACATTGCTGTCATACGGGGAGCCAGTAAACGCAACAGGCTGTGCATTATCTACTAGCGATGATTTCATGTGCGACTGCACATCTGGTGCCACTCCACCTGGTCCAGCATCCACACCTGCTGCTGCCTTTGTTCTCATTTCTTCTGCAGAAGCCCTGCAAAAAGTAAATATCATAAGATTAGATATGAAAGCAGCTACATAACTCTTTGAAAGGTATCAAGTGAGTAGAACTACTAGTGCACAAACAACAGATTTTCCAGCCAATCAAAGAAGCTTCCGAATCGAACTAGCTAATAAATAAGAGAGTATGTGATCTGTCTCTTGAAGACACAGACACAGACACAGACAGACACAGACACAGACACAGACACAGACACAGACACACACACACTCACTCACACAAAGACAGCGCTTTCATTTGATGAAGTAGTCATACTACTAAAGCTACATATTAACAGAACTACTGTACGACTTGACTAAAGTATCTAATCATTTGCTGATCAAAAACAAGTTTAAAAGAAAATAAACTTTAAAAAGACAGATTTTCCATAAAAGTGTTTTTTTGTGTAAAAATCAGTATTGGCTCACATCAGATCTTAGAAGTCAAATTGTTGACATGCACAGAAAGCAAAGAAATTTTTTTACTGTCTCCCCATAGAACAAGCAAATGTGGGGCTGATGAAGCAGACATTTAGTCATTCCAGTTTTAAAAAATAAATCAATTTAAAGGGCAGATTGTAAAAAATTTTGGTGGAGAAAGTTTTAATGTACTCCACATATTCATGTTAAAAATATCTCCTGGGAAAAATAATTTTAAATTATTACGTTTGAAGGATCAACAGATCAAGAAAACATCAAACATAATGAAAATTAAAATTGAAAGCGTAGCGAGCCGAAACTATAGCAAAATCATATAGCAGAAGGCGTCAGAAGTCAACATTCGTGATGACTGAGAGCAGCAACAGCAAAATTCCTTCAAAAGTGTCACTTTTCCAAAGTGGAGACTATACCATCTAATGACCTAGGCTAGGCTACTAAAAGTATAGCTTGAAAAAAATTAGTCTAGTGTGAAGAAACCATAAGCAAGAAATATTTTTAGAACTTTCAAGTAAGTCAAGCAATAAAGGAAGTAGGATGGCAAGGACCTCAATGGTGCGTAGGTCAATGTTCTACCAGACACATTCATACACTTCAGAAAAATTACTTTCAAAAAAATTTAAAAATAGAAATTTATATGCTCATGACTGACAGAAACCACTAACCACCCCTTGGAAGTTAATCTAATCTTTGATAAAAGTTTACAAGGAAAAACAAAAAAAAAAGCTTGAAATTGAAAAGGCATGGTTAAATGACATTGCCTTTCAATTTAAAAAGTGTTTCAAACAGAAAATTACAAACAAAAAACTCAGCATACTTCCTAATTACAGATACAAAATTTCAAATCATGCTCTCATGCTAAAAGATGTTCACACAAGAAACAAAAAGGTTAATTGCCTCACGGGCACCTCTGCGCTTTGGCACAAAGATGAGGAGCCCATTTAAGGACGCCAAACATCAGGATCCTCCATGAGTGTAGTCTTTTGGTCCACAGGTTGAGGGACACTACCCGTCGGGGAGGCCATTGCAGCCATGTCTTGACGAGACCCTCTGCCATGGAGCAGACACACACATGTTAAAGATAGCACCCAATCATACTTGTCAACACAAACACACAACAACACACAGACAAAAAGTGTTAGTTATGATACAAGATTAGTGTGTAAAAACATTTAGACCCACAACCACAGCACAAGCTCTTCATAAAGCATTTATTAGTATTAGGGAAAAGTAGCTTAAGGTAATTGTGAATCATAATTCTACAATAACCCAATTCCTGTTAAGTGGCAAGATGAAAATTGTTCTGTTAGTGGAGTGTAGTAAGTGTAGTAATAGTTTGTTTACAAACTACTGACCAGTTGAGGCATGAGATTTTTCATGTACTAAGAAATACTGTGGGAAATGTTGATGAAGAGTATAAAATCTTAAAAAGTCACAAATAGATAGATAATACTCACTTTTTACCAAGAGACATCATTCCATAGATGACACCGGTGCCAAAAATAAGACCACTGCCAAAGATCGTGCTCAATGAAAGACACAGAACAACTGCTGGCAAAGAAATCCTGCAGATAAAACAAAATGTTAGACAAAAAACTTTGAAGCTTAAGAATTATATTTTCTATTTGCTCTAACTCAGGGTGTTGTCAATCGCACTCTCTCACTCTTGTGGGTTGAGTCTGTCACTCTTGCTCTGACTAGCACTGTTTTTATCCATGACCCCTGCTCAAACTGAACCATTCGACAAACACTTACACAATGTACAATGCACCCCGGTAATAATATGGCTTTTGTTCCATGAAATCGCTTGCACTTTGCACAAAGTCAAGAAACATGCAGCAGCAAGGTGCTTCAATAACAATGACAAGAAAGCCGGCTAGCCTGTAAATTACAACACAGATTGAGATTAAAAATAATAAAAACAGAATATTCTTGATTCTTCTGGAAGTAATAAATCCAGACTAATAGAATTTATTTAACAACATACATTTGCCAAATGCCAGCTATGAGGCAGTCTATTTGTGCAAAGAGGATTCCAGTGGCTGCCCATATGCCCAAAAAGATGGCAACTGCAAGAGATAAAAAAAATTATTCCTATGTAAATGGTACAAACTTAACCTATAATTAAATAGCAGTGGATACTAGTTAGCAAAACTTACTTCCTCCTCCTACAGTTCCAAGACCTCTCCCAGCGTACTTCATCCACCATGGTACATCATCATTGGGAATAGCATCCTGACCAGGTCGCTGCATGAGCTGGCCGATTTTCTCAGTGAAGGACTAATAGATAGACACAAAGAAATGAGGATGAAGTACAAAAATGCAAAACAAATTAAATTAATTTCAAGCAGATATTGTAATAAAAATTTAGAGGTAGTTATGAAGAAATTTCAACAATAACTAAGGTTAGGGTTGCAACTCTTAAAAGGAGAAAATAATTGAAAAGTTATCAGAGAGACAGGGAACAACATCAAACTTGAAACAATAGAGCACTGAATTAAAGAATTGTGGATATGCCACTCAAAACACTTTAGTTTTGTTCAGAATTGAAGAGGGAAGCCAGAAGGCTTCAACAGAACGAACATACTAAGCAAAAATCTAGTGAGGAACGTCACCAAGAATCAAGAGTGTGGCAGAACCAGTGCGGTCAAGGGGCAATAAACCCACAACACAAGCAAAAATAATGCAGACACGATATAGTTTAGATCACGAAATGACAAGTAGAGATAAGGGGTTAGATAGGAACCAGACAGGGGGAGTTTCTTCTGTAGGAAGGCCTCAACGATTTTCCCTGAAAATCAGCAAGTTCTGTGGGGAAAAGCTCCAGAATCTTACCATGATAATGTTTGGAGTAGCGGAAAATTGAGTTAAAAATATCCAAGAGAGATAAAAATTAGACAGACAATGTCTGCGCAACGGCACACAGCTGACATAAGAATGTTGTTGGTCGATCGTCGTAGATCGATACGGGTAGCAGGCAGAGATTCGCTCACAGCTGCCTATGAGAAATCTTTCGGCCAGTAAATTCTGTTTGCAGGTTTAACCTTTACTGTTTTGTGTGTTTTGCTCTTTACTTTCTCCTTTACGTGTGCGGAGGTGGATGCTGCAGGAGGGATTCGGTGCGGTGACGGCCAGACCAGACAATCAAACAAGAAAAAGTTTTAGGGTGGCTTTTAGGACATTTTCAAGTAGCCCTGTGCGACGGAGGCGGAACCTACCGCGGGGAATTCCACTGAACAGACGGCGCCGGTGTTTAAGATCCCACATAAGATGTTCTGCACCGAGTGATGTCGATGGATACTCTTTTCCAGCTTAGAGCGGCTCGCAAATACCCGTCTCACCAGAAACACAACGCAACGGTTATTAAAAATAAAACACGAAAAACAGTAATAAAAAAAGGGGTGACGGTCGTGCCGCCCTAGTCCTTCAGCACACACGAAGGTGACCAAGAGACATAAAATCAACGTCGACTTCCTGCCGATCCCCCCCCCCCCCCCGCGTCAGGCGCGGTATAGGGGGTGGCGACAGGGGGGGGGGGCGATGGGCTGTGGTCTGTAGTTTGCTTACCTACAGGGGCTTTGTAGCACAAATTGCATACATTTCAGGCGGGTCGTTAGAGACAATGGGGTACGTAGCGTTACAAAATCCCAGTAG